ATCTTAGGGATATCATTTTTGTGGCTGATAACGTATTTTTCGGAAGGGATTTTCGAACAACAATTAAACTTCGTAAATTTAAGATTGATTATATCATTATACTTAGCGAGTGCAGTTGCTGGTCAAATTTTATCCACAGTAAGCCACATTCCACCATTCGTAGGAATGACATTGGTGGGTATGGCATTCAAAATTAGTGAACAAAAGATTAAAATCGACGAATTTAGACATTTTTTTTGGTTATACTTTAGGTGTGTAATRACAATATATTTTTTTAAATAAATGTATCCTCACTAGCGGTCCTCCTCTCACATATACTATAATATAACTATTTTAGCTATGTAATAATACTGTATTAATTTAAAATTTTATTTTCACAATTTTTTTTATTACTTTAGTGAATTTACAGAATCAGTGATTCTGATCATATGTTTTCTGGAACTTGATGTGTGGAAGTTACGTCGTATTGGCTTCACTGTATTAAAATTGGCATTTTTACCTCAAATAGCCGTTATTGTACCTTTAGCTATTGCTTTGAATTGTAATTATCTAAATATAAACCAGTTTAGCTCAACGCATTTGTTCCTGTGAGTATTTACATTTTTAGTCGTTTTATATTGACCAATTATAGACGAAATTCATAAATCTTATTGTTTTAAATAAAGCATTTTATTATTACTGAACTTTGTTTTTGACATATAATTTGTACACCATTGTCCATTAGTCTCCAGGTATATAAAATATATCCAAGTGATGTCGCTATATTATACTTATTTGTTAAATTCTTTTTCATTAAGTTTTTTTTTATATAAATGAAAAAATATGGTCCTATATTTGAATATAGATGAACAATATACATAAATAATAGTTATTATTTGATAAAAGCTGTTGTAATACTTTTTCATACAGGTACAACATGTTGGGCATTAATTCGATCCTGTTTATGCCAAGTATATCTGTATTGAAACGATTGGGTTATTTTGATAAAAATAATATTTACACTTTGCTTCATGCCACATCCAGCATTGTAAATATAGCTGTAGTAATTATCAATTACTTTACATACACAAAATGTACGTATTAAATGGAAAAAAACATTATTACCTAGTGATCAGTATCTGTATAAATATAATCGTTATGTTGGTTTTCAAATTTTCAATAGAATTACATTAAGGGGGATTCGATACCAACCTGTTTTAAGGAGTTACCTAAATATAGGAAATTTCTATATTAC